AACAGAAATAATTTCTCAGAAGTGATGTTAGTAGACAGGGGTGCATGATACTGTCGCTAGCCTTTAGGCGGTGACAGACTCAGTCAGTATAACTGAAATCCTGGACATTTATGGTTGGCTGGCTCTTCTTCTTCTTTTTCTTCTCGTCCTTTTTCTTTTTCTTCTTCTTCTTTCTTCTTCTTCTTCTTTCTTCTTCTTCCTTCTTCTTCTTCTTCTTCTTCTTCTTCTTCCTTCTTCTTCTTCTTCTTCCTTCTTCTTCTTCTTCTTCTTCTTCTTCTTCTTCTTCTTCTTCTTCTTCTTCTTCTTCTTCTTCTTCTTCTTCTTCTTTTTCTTCTCGTCCTTCGTCTTCTTCTTCTTCTTTCTTCTTCTTCCTTCTTCTTCTTCTTCTTCCTTCTTCTTCTTCTTCTTCTTCTTCTTCTTCTTCTTCTTCTTCTTCTTCTTCTCTTCTTCTTCTTCTTCTTCTTCCTTCTTCTTCTTCTTTTCTTCTTCTTCTTCTTCTTCTTCTTCTTCTTCTTCTTCTTCTTCTTCTTCTTCTTCTTCTTCTTCTTCTTCTTCTTCTTCTTCTTCTTCTTCTTCTGCTTCTTTCTTCTTCTTCTGCTTCTTTCTTCTTCTTCTTCCTTCTTCTTATTCTTCTTCTTCTTCATCATCTTCTTCTTCTTCTTCTTCTTCTTCTTCTTCTTCTTCTTCTTCTTCTTCTTCTTCTTCTTCTTCTTCTTCTTCTTCTTCTTCTTCTTCTTCTTCTTCTTCTATCCACTGCTGCTGCTTCTCCTTCTTTTTTTCTTCTTTCTTTCGTTGTCTTTCTCCTTATCTTCCTTCTCCTCGTTGTTCTTCTCCTTCTTCCTCCTTTACTTGTTTCTCTCTTTCCTTCCTTCTTTATTCATTCACATCTTTCTTTCAATCTCCACAATGGAACAACTCTGTCAACTCAAGCCAAGCCCTTTGGAGACATTTAATGACTGACTTGATTTTTCTTGTTTTATATTGGATTCAAGGCAACCTTCCTTAGTCCCCTCTTACCACATGCCCGGCAAGTTAACATTAAATACTGCGGACGCAAACAATACCTTGCACAATTAATTGTCAGGCATATTTCGCTGTATCTCGTCAGTTGTGTTACTACAAAGTTACTTAAATATAAAATGAAGCACAAAAACTGAATAAATCAAACTGAAATGTGAATACTGTAGTTTCTTTCGACGCATCATAGTGTGTTTAGTCGCCGGAAGTTCACGGTAGTCACCTGACTAAACCAGGGTGACTTTAGATTTACTATATATTGCGTCTGCTTAAGTTAACATTACTTGCGATTCCTTTACAGGACTTGCTGAACCAACCCCGGCATTTCTGACTGTTGTGGTTTTTCCTAGGCGAATTTACGTTCAGTAGTTTGCTATTTTCCATGCATGGTCGGAGCTCGAGACCACTGTCGAAACCAAATCGCCTGCAGCGGAGATCTCTGCATCCGGCATTAGGAAGCGCGTTCGGGAAGTCTGAGCCACTGAGGCCAAGTTACAGTATTAACACTGCTGTCATTGTGAGCCCTCGTATCGTCAAGGTTAGTCTTGTTCAAGTGACAAGAAATACCACTTTATATCTATATATAATGTTTAGGTTTAGACGGCGGATCAACTTCACGACACAAGGGTAGTAAAGCATAAGTGCTCCGTTCTACTTCTGCCTCAAGCCTGAGTCCGAAGAATCTCAGCGCAGTGCACGAACTCCGTCGCACCGACAAGGGTCCTGAAATACTTTGGGTAGATTTTTAACTCAAAAATTTTGCCCGGGCAGGGCCGTAAGGGCTTCTCTTTTTCGATTTCCAACTGCCAAGAGATTTTTTTACGTGCGCAACAATACACACAGGCGTCCGGTCTTACTACCCAGAGACCAGGGCTTGAACCCGGGACCTCCAGCACTCGAGGCAGACGCCACGCCTCGAGACCATGCAGCTCCCTAATATGTATATTAAACACACGAAAATCGATGAGGTTTCCGTAGTAGTATGGTAGCCTTACTGGGTCGCACTGACGGTTCCAACCGCTTATCAAATAATACTAAATATTCAGTTTTAGCATGTGCTTTCAACTGTAATAATAATCTGGCATTATCCTAGACACGATCTAGCGATGACGACAACGAGGAGGAGCATCGAGTTGAGAAAGATGTTAGCATTATGAACCCCATATTTTGTCGCCTTATGCTTTTACAATCACCTTCAAGTGCCTTGCCGACTGGCGTGGGCGATCATGCCTCTTCACAATCTTCGATCCGCAAGTGTGTGTATCAGAACGTGTTTTGACACCCCTCCATGTCATGACACAAGATTCAAGAATCTGTTTACGCTGTCTTCCTGTGTCTCTCTTTCCACAAACCTTTCCAGTGGTCACAACATGTTCCATTTTAACTCTTCTCATAACATAACTAAAAAAAAGTATGACTGTCTCCTGATGTTCGTGATAAGCTGTCTTCGAGCACTCGCCGCTTTCAAACCGCATTTACTACTAGTATTTTATAACCCCGTTCCCCGTGTGGGTTCCGGGGCCCCATTGTGGGGGGGGGGGGAACAAGAATAGACCCACTGCCTGCCCAAAAGCATGTCGTAAGAGTTGACTAATTGGGAGCTTTCTTCAAAGTCGGAGTACATCTGCCTGAGGGGCAGGGAACCAACAGTCTGCATGCAAATGAGTCAGACCTGTGAAACAGATGTACACACAACACTCAGGTTCTGGAACAGAACTGCAGTTCAGAAGTGGATGAACAACCAGAACTTTCCGCCGGAGTTTGCAGCCAGTGAACGCGAAGAAGAAGAAGAAGAAGAAGAAGAAGAAGAAGAAGAAGAAGAAGAAGAAGAAGAAGAAGAAGAAGAAGAAGAAGAAGAAGAAGAAGAAGAAGAAGAAGAAGAAGAAGAAGAAGAAGAAGAAGAAGAAAAAGAAGAAGAAGAAGAAGATGATGATGATGATGATGATGATGATGATGATGAAGAAGAAGAAGAAGAAGAAGAAGAAGAAGAAGAAGAAGAAGAAGAAGAAGAAGAAGAAGAAGAAGAAGAAGAAGAAGAAATAGAAGATAACCCGTGATGCAGTTCGTAAAGCACTTAAAATTAATTCTATTGACTTCACAGTACACTACAATCAACAGTACTGGTAGATGAACGTAGGCAGTATTTGTAGCTATCCTCTCGCTAGACGGCATTTATAATTACATATAAATAACACAAAAACTGGCTACACTCGAAATGAAACGCTTGAGATGCTGGCTTCAGCAGAAGACACAATTAGACATGATGACATTATAAACATCAAGGGTATCGTAGCCTGCCTAGCATTTATAGACACCTAATAAAGTGTCTTCGGCTTCTTACTTGTCTTCACCTTGGTATCACGCAATGTCTTACATTTATAGACAACTAATAAAGTGTTTTCGTCTTCTTGTCTTCTCCTTGGTATCACGCAATGTCTTACATTGATAGACAACTTATAAAGGCTCTTCGTTTTCTTTTTCGTCTTTTCCTTTGGTATCACGCCCTGGATAGTATTTACTGACAGACAACTAATAAAGTGTCTTCTTCTTTGTTTTCTTTTCGTCATTACGCCATGCGTGGCTTCTGGTAAGAGACAACTGATGATGTGTATTCTTTTCCTTCTTGGTATCACACTCTGGGTAACATTTATTGCGGGAACCAATAAAGTGTGTTTTTTCTTCTTGATATCACTGCATGGGTAGCATTTACTTACAGAGAGATTACTAATAAAGTGTCTTTTTCTTCTTGATATCAAGCTCTGTGTAGCATTTAATTACAGACGACTAATAAAGCGATTCTACCTTTTCTCGGCATCATGCCTTGCATACAATTTATTGGGAAAGAAATCAAGCAGCAGTCAATGTTAGGTTGTTCACATCTTTAGAGTTTTCCTCAAATGGGCGGATGCTGGCCCGAACAATTTTCTCCATTCTGTATCTGTCTGGTAATCTTGCAGCTAACATTTAGGAACCATGTTACCGAGTCCGCAGTAAAACACATCTGTGTCCCCAACTTCTAGCACTCTGAACAAGGGATATTTCAATCAGCTGTTGTGTTGTAACTGTGTCTCATTGAAGCTCTGGAAAACGAGCTGGAGAATCACCAAGAATCAAATGGGGTTTCCATTCGTCAGAATGACGTTAACTGCGTTTTCCCTGTTCACAACACCGCTGGAATATGTGCATCTTCCGGTCGACACACCCGACTTTGTCAGACATTTGTCCATCGGGTCAACCAGTCCGGATAAGTTTCCAGGGACATGACGTAACCTTATTTGTGGTGTTCTCTTTATCTGAAGGTACTGCCCCCCCCCCCCCCTGGGGAACCTTGCAATGCAACCGCGTTTAGACTGGTCGGCCCTCAAGGGAAGGTAGGGGCAGATCATGAGAGATGGTTACATTCTGTCAAAGTTTATCAAGGTGTCTATTAAACAGACGTTATGTATCATCATTTGCATCAGTATCGCGTTGTGTCGGTGCACGCCATATAGTGATCACAGTTTGTTCTTCCATTATTTTCTAAAATGTGCGATTAGGAGTGTAATACAGTGCAGCACCGTTGGTCTCTCTCTCATCAACATTTGTCTAAGTCATGCATACTCAGGCATAATAAATGACGCAGACACCTCGACCAAAAACATGCTATTTAGAAAAGTCAACTGAACACCCCACCCCCCCCCCCCCCAAATCATTCGATATATTGATAATAGCTCGTATTCAGTAGCAACAAACAAATAAAGCTGTTCTTGAGATATAGGACGTTTTTTCTTATTTGAGGTTCATCCTGACACACGCACGCGCACACACACACACGACACATAAAGCACGGCAAAAACACATTCACAACTCACACATGCACACACACACACGACATATACAGCACGGCACAAACACATTCACAACTCACACATGCACACACACACACACACGACATATACAGCACGGCACATTCACAACTCACACATCAGAAACACATATCTTACCGGCACAGTCGTGGCCCGCTGCCCGCTGTCATCCGATTCAACAGCACTTATATCCACAAGGAACAGGTCGGCGGGCAGCTGCTCCCTGTCCACAGAAACGGCCGTGGAGATGACCCCAGCTGACCGGTCAATGAAAAATAATCCGCTGTATGCTCGCCCAGCCACGGTCACCTTGGTGATGTAGTATTCCACCCTAAAACCCAAGGAGGATGGGGTGGCTGTCATCCTCATAATGCTGGCTCCTGGAGCCACATTCTCTTTGAAACTACCGGAAGTTGGATTCGAACTAGAGAACACTGGGCCATTGCCACTGGTGGCATGTACGAGAAGAGTCACGGACTCTGTGGTGGATTTTGCCCCTAAAGTGTCATCTGAGCCCCCATCGGTCGCTGTTATGTTTAAGACATAGCTGGAAGGTAGAGGTGGCAGGTTCTGGGTCAGTGATATGGTACCTGTTGTCGGGTTTATATTGAACAAGGTCGGTTTCTGACCTGAGAAAGAGTATGATATCTTGCTATTATCAGCGTGGTCCACATCTATGGCGGTAACTGAAGCAACAGTACTGCCTCCAGAAGAAGAAGAAGGAACTAGAAATACTCCAGGGCTCATGATTACTGGAGCATTGTCATTGACATCCTCTACGAAGATTGTCAAGGATTTCTCAGCTGTCTTTCTCTGGGACACATTGCTGTCTTGGTCTATGGCATGGATGGTCACTTTAAAGGTATCATCTTTCTCTCGATCCAACATACTGTTGACAGTTATCTCCCCTGTGATTTCGTTGATGGCAAAATGGCCTCCGCCAGGCGTCTGCTTGTAAATGCTGTATAAAACCCTACCCAGGTCCCCAGAATCTCTGTCCACGGCTGTTAAATCTGCTATCTTTGATCCTGGGGGCTTATTTTCTTTAGCAAATACTTTGGACAAGCCATCTGTAAACTCTGGAGCATTGTCATTGGCATCAATGACTTTGACAGTAAAGATGATGGCCACGGACAGAGCAGGGAAACCTGAGTCAGAGAGAGTGATATTCAGTGAATGCTCTCCATTATTGAGCTTCAATGATTCATAGTCCAGACTCCGTGTCAGTGACAGTCGCCCAGAGTAAACATCCAGTGCAAAGATGTCATCTTCATTTCCGGATACAATATCATATCTGAGTTTCCCATTGTTGCCCATGTCTTTGTCGCTGCCAGAGAAAGTCACTAATGTTTCTCCTACATCCGTAGTCTCGCTGACACTGATGAATCGTCTGGTGTTGGCAGCAAACTGTGGTACATTGTCATTGTAATCAACAACAAAGATTTGCAGTTCTATAGATGCCTCCAGCTGAACTTCTGAACCGGTATCTGTTGCATTAACAGTCAGAAAGTACAGATCCTCCAGCTCTCTGTCCAGTTTATCCTTCAAATACAACACCCCACTATCTGCCCTTATGCCGAATTTTCCAGCTTCATTGCCGCTGACAACAGCAAAAGACAAGGCAGCATTGGCACCTTCATCAGCATCCACTGCAGACAGTGTGAAAAAACCTTCATTAACATTACTGTTCTCATTAATGGCGATGACTGATCCTGAAACCTGCACAAACACAGGCGGGTTGTCATTTTCATCAAAAACATTGACTCTGACAGATACTTTACTCTGAAGCTTCTTCAAGCCATTATCTGTGGCAAACACATCAAAAACATAAAAGGGTTGATTTGTTGTCTTCACAATGTACTCCCGATCAAACTGTTTCTTGGAATAAATGGTCCCCATGAGAGGATCTATAGAAAAGTTGTCATTGTCTTCACCCAGGGAGTAGACTATGTCAGCATTGCGTCCAACATCTTCATCATCTGCTTTGACAGTCCCAACAAAAGTGTTTACTTTTCTGTTTTCTTTGATACTAAACTCATATAGCTCTTTGAGAAACTTTGGCTGGTTGTCATTTTCATCGAGGACATAAACGGTAATGTTAACAGAAGAGCTCCTTGGTTCTGACCCACCATCTTTAACTACAATTGTCAGGAAATACATATCCTTTTTCTCTCTATCTAGTTCATGAGCTACAAACAAAGATCCATCAGGGAAAATGCCAAACCGCTTGTCTTCATTACCTCTGGTGATGCGGTATGTAAGTTCGCCATTCTGCCCTTTGTCAGCATCAGTTGCAGACACGACCTTCAGAACTTCATTGACAGGCTGAGATTCAAACAAGAACAGCTCCCAATGGCTTCCTGTGAAGATAGGAGTGTGGTCATTGACATCCTCTATTCTGATTTTCACAGCCATTGAACTGAACTTGCGTGCGGCACCCCCATCTGTAGCAGTAATGTTCAAGGTAGCACTATACCCAGGCATGTGGCTGGGTGGCTTGGCCAGGAATATCACTCCACTAGTGGCATTTATGGCAAAGACGCCATTGATCTCATCGGATGAGGACAAGCTGTAGCTAATCTCCTTGTTGGCATCGGCATCAGCATCTGTGGCCTGCGCTAAAAATATGTTATGTCCGACTGGCCAATTCTCCAGCACGGTGGCCTCTGTGGTCAGGGATACAAACACAGGAGCATTGTCATTCAAATCTCTGACCAATATTGTCACGGCCCGCGTACTTATCTTCTCCCCATCATAAGCAATGACAGTCAGCGTATATTTGGACTTCTCTTCTCTATTAACAGCAAGCTGAGTCCAAATTATTCCAGAACTGGCATCAATTTTGAACACCCCATCAGGATCACCAGCAGTTATAGCATAAGTAACAGTCCTCCCTGCAGAAGAAGAAGCTTCAACTCTGTCTACCATCCTACCAACCTGAGGGGGTCTTTCACCGTTGTCTTCTAATACTGAAAACTCATATGAAGGTTTGGTGAATTCTGGACCAGTACTGGAGATACTAATGGGGATAATGTTGACTACAGCCTGACTGTCTGCTGATGACCCACCACCATCAACAGCTTGCACAGTCACTTTACATTTCTGCGAAGATGGTGGTTTATATGTTGATATTACTCCTAAGTCAGGGTTAATTTTGAAACTGCCGCAGGAATCTGAGAAAATGGAATAGGTAACTTTACCGAATTCACCAATGTCTTTGTCTCTTGCGTTCACCCTCACGACTGGCTGATCTGCGGGGTCATTGTTGTAGATATTAACAAAATACTCCTTTGGTGAAAACTTTGGTCGGTTATCATTGACATCTTTGATTGTCAGCTCAATGGTAGCAGTCGCTGACAGAGGCTTTGGTCCTTTGTCACAAGCCACAACTTTAATGAAAAACTTATCTTTGAGCTCTCTGTCAAAACTCTGAAGAGCTGTCACTTTACCAGAGGTACGGTTGACACTGAAAGTTGCAGGATACTGAATCTGAGTGTCTGTATGAATGAAGTACTCTACCGTTCCATTGTCTCTGCTGTCAAGGTCAGATGTCCTCAAGGTCACAATTTCAGCACCTGGAGGTAAGTTCTCATCCAGCTCATGAACATACGAAGTCAATGAAAATTTTGGAGTACAATCATTCTCATCCAGGATATCGATGACCAAAGAGGCAAAATTGTACCTAGGGTCAGAGCCACCATCATGAGCAGAGATGTTCAGTACAATCTGTGATGTCTCTTCATGGTCAAGATTGGCAATGGTTGTCACCAGCCCTGTGTCTGAATCTATTGAGAACCAGTGCAATGCTTCATTCCCTGATGATATCTGGTAGGTTAGTTTTGAGTTAACACCTTCATCTTTGTCTGTAGCTCTTAAGTTGGCCACATAAGAGTAAGGTTTGGTGAACTCACTCAGGCTGACAGTATATTCTGTATGGTCGAACTCGGGTGGGTGGTCGTTAGCATCATTCACGGTCACAATTATATATGCAGTGGAACTTCTATGAGGTGTTCCGTTGTCTACGGCTTCAAATGTCAAGTTAAATTTACCAATAGTTTCCCGATCTAGCTGCCTGGCAACTTGAATCTCATTGAAGCCATATGCTGGCAAAGACAGATGAAAAAAATATCCTTCTTCATTTCCTTTGATGATTCTAAGTGTGGTTTCTCCGTTAGCTCCATTATCTCTGTCGGTCACGGTTATAGAAAACACACTGGTCTGGTTGCTAGCATTCTCATCAACTGAAGCAGATCTAATTGCAGCCCCTTCTTTAGTGAATGTGATAACTGGATCGTGATCGTTCTCATCCAAGACTTCAATATAGACATAGGCTCTTCCTGTGAGAGCATTCAGACCCTTATCACTGGCTTCCACCAGAATAAAGCAGCTGTTTGGGTTACATTTCACTGTAGACCTTCCACATCTTCTGCTGCATCTGAGGGGACTCGTCACTGTCTGTATGACTCCTGTGTTTTCTTCAATCTGGAACTGGTGACTGTCATCTTCTAATCGGTAAACTATTTCCCCATTCAAGCCCAGGTCACTGTCACTAGCTTCTGCACGAAACACTGAGGTTCCCACAGGTGCGCTCTCATTGACCTGGGTTGTGTACTCACTGAAGTCAAAAGCTGGTGTGTTATCGTTGACATCTAATATTGCAATATCTACCAATATAAAACCATAATTTGGAGGCGAGCCATTGTCTCGAGCGGAAATGTTCAACTGATAGTGATCAAGCTTTTCTCTGTCAAAACTTTCAGCTCCTTTCTTGATAATGTACAAGATCAGCGGCAACCCAGAGAAGTCTAAACCAAACATCCCTGCCTCATTGCCGGACACAATATCATATCTTCCTATTGTCCCATTAGCACCTTCATCTGGATCAGTTGCAGTAACAATATTCTTGCGTCCCTCACGGACATCTTCTTGAAAAGAAATTTTCTCCCTGGCACCATCTGAGTGAAACACTGGAACGTTGTCATTGATGTCAAGTATGGTGATGACAACATTAAAAGACAGTTGCCGGGCAGAGGAGTTTGTTGGATGACCAATAACAGACAGACGTATAAAAGAATTTGGTAAAGCTTCCCTGTCTATAACCTGCAACGTTCTCACTGTGCCAGAGGAGTTGATCTCGAACAAGCTGGTAGGGTCCTGGAATGTATAGCTGTAGTTTGGCATTGCAGCAACTGTTCCTACCACTGTCCTAACAGGAGACTCCTCCACAAGGGACATCTCTATGACACCTGGGCCTTGTCCTTGGGCAAATGCAATTAGGAAATGTATCAAGATTATGCACACAGTGTGATCCATTATTCTGGAGGTTAAGCAGCTTATGGATTTGAAATCCAGAGATGCCATACTGTGTTTCTTTTGTTCTTATATATCTTGACTGTTATTGATCCAGCAATGCTATCTGTCTGCCATGACTGTGGGTTGGCTTAACTGCATCCAAATGATCAGATGAATGACAGCAATTCTGGTTACAAAGTTCCCTCGTTGTGTTCTTCATAAGAAGTGATTCACATCTGAAAATAATGAGAGATTATAATTACTGGAATGTTGAAATTATTGACATACAATGTGAATTTTGTGTGTGTCCCAAGCAACAGGCTATGTGTTTGTTAATTTTAGTCTGGAATTATAATAAAACTATCTGGCTGTTGGTGTTAATATACAAATGGCATACTGCATATAAGATATATACACATTTATGTCACAGAAAGTTAACTTGTCACACGATGAGTCACTTGGAGGCCACATGTTCGAGTCCTGGTATGGCAACTGCGTTTCCCACAAAGTAAGACCTACACCACCCCCCTTCAATCCTCCCCTTTTTGCACGACTGTTCAGTATGTTTCTAGTATAAGCCCACACCAAAAATAGGTAAGCCCTGGTTAAGATCGTTAGCTAGAATGAGATTCTTGCTGTCGAATGGCAAAGCTCATTTTAGTGAAGTTGTATTGCTGGACATGATAGGATTGGGGGGGGGGGGGGGGGGGGGGGGGGGGCGCTGTGGTTCTAGAGGTAATGCAGCTGCAAGAAATTCAAGCCAGAATGTGGATCTGGAGTGTTATAACAATGTTCTAGAACTGTGGACTCCATCGTGGAGGGGGAGGGGGATTCAAGAGGGGCGTCAAGCAATTTTAAAATTAAGTGCATTTGTATTTGTAATAATCTGTTATATTATATTTTCGTTTAATTATACATAATATATATATATTTTTTTTTACTTTTTATTAAACAAAAAGCCAAGGACATTTTGTGGTTGTTGCTTTTATAAGTAGTTTATATACCTGAAGTTACACATTTAATTATTACGATAACATAGGCATTGATAGATTGAGAACATATTCTGACCAAAATGTATCTCCATAATGTCTGTTTCTCTTGTTGTGCAATCTGTTGTTCTTCTCTATTTAATCACACTTTGTTATGTTGGAGATAGGGGGGGGGGGGGGAGGGGAGGGGGCAAACTGCTGGGGTTGGTTCTGCGACTTCCTGTAAAGGATACATAAATAAAGGATACGCTGCTAGCTTAAACTGTCCCCATTGGACAGACAGTTTGACTAGCAATGTACCTGTCTTCTCTAACGATGGTACTTTTCTTGTTTTTAGAATGGCTATACATTAGGCTAGGGGTCTATTCACGTTTCCCAGCCTAACTACACACTGTATGACATTTCATTCATACTTTCTCAGACTGTTCTACGTCCGAGGATTGTCACATTGTCTTGCCTTTAATTACATTAGTGCCGATGTCGCGGGTTCTATACTACTCGATGACACAGCTTTTAACGACCCCAGAACATCAAGTACTGACCCTAACCCAAACCCGCCTACCCACAGCCTGAGCCTAGGTCCCACGAGAGATTTTTCAAGAAAACAGTACAACGTGACATCCCTCTGAACTCGACTAAACTGAAAAAGTGTGTAGATGGGCCGAAAAACGTGAAAAAGACCTAGACAGGTTTAACCTGTTTTCTGATGACGTGAGAATGGACACGGATGTGACGGCCTGTGGGCACCAGGCAGTGTCAGTCCCCGGTTGATTTTCTATAGTAAAGGCCAACGAAACGATAATTAACTCATTCTTTAGCAATCAACGGGCCAAGCGTGCACTGGAGACTTCTCACGCTGCAGTAAAAGTAAATTACGAACACATCTTTTGATTGTTAAAAGGTTAGGGGGGGGGGTGAATTTGACTGTTTGGGGAGGGGGGGGTGGACTGTCTAGGGAGGGGATTTGACTGGGGGGGGGGAGGAGAGAATAGAGTGTTGGGGGGGGGGGGAGGGGTGATTTGACAGTCTGGGGAGGGGGATTTGACTGTGTGGGGGGGGGGGGGGGATAGAGTGTTTTGGGGGGGGGGGGGATTTGACTCGAGAAAAGAGGGGGGGGGGCAGTAATCGAAAATGGACTTGTCCAGAGTTTATATTATATATATGTTATATAGCAGACATACAAATTTTAGAAAGGATCATGTGGGGCATAACCCGCGCACACGTACACACACACACATACAAGGTTAGGAAACACTTGATTAGGAAGTGAACATGGAAGGGTAGTGGGACACGGAGTGAACTACATGCGACAGGAATGGATATGGCAACCTTGTGGGAGTTGGTTCAGGGCGTATGCATCAACAGGAGACGAAGACAAGACCAGAAACAGGAAGAGACATATGGGTAATACCTGAATTACCTACTATCCCACAAATGCTTTATAATACGAAATGTCTGAAATAACAACGCTTATCCATGCCAGTTCTAATATACATGCTCCCCCCCCCCACCCCCACCCCCCACACACACACACACACACACAGCGGAGGTTAGTAATTTGCTGATACAGAGAATGGCAGAGAAGAAATTATATAATTATCCAATTATATCACATAAAAAAGTTCTTGATTAACTGCTGGCTTTTCC